TATATTTTTAAAAGGGCTTTTCTTTGCCTTGACGCAAGGCAAGAGAACCGAAGCCCCCCGGAGTAGCTTTAGGAAATGAACCTAGGGTGGGCCGGTCGCGGTTTTCTTGGCCATCCCCTGGTTGGCTGCCCGGAGGATCCTGAGGGTTGCCAGCCAGTCCCCCAAGGCTGGGAATTGGAAGCAGGCCCCAGCGGACACTTGCGCCCTAACCCTCCATAAAGCATCGATCTCAAGAGCCGCGGTGGCGCAGTGGTTGGAGTGCAGTACTGCAGGCTCCTTCTGCCTGGCTGCCTGCAGTTCAGCAGTTCGAATCTCAGCGCTTTAGGTTGACTCAGCCTCCCCTCCTTCCTAGTGGGTAAAAGGAGGACCCAGATGGTTGGGGGCAAGAGGCTGACTTTGTAAACCGCTTCGGTCTGTGAAGCACTGTGAAGTGGTATATAAGCCCTAAATGCTATTGCTAGCTTGCCTGCCTTCCTTCCTTCCTTCCTTCCTTCCTTCCTTCCTTCCTTCCTAGAAATAGAATAGAATTAGAATTAGAAATAGAATTAGAATTAGAATTCTTTATTGGCCAAGTGTGATTGGGCACACAAGGATTTTGTTTTGGTGCAACTTAAGGGAGCTGGAGAGACACAGAGTGCCTGAATGTGCAGCCAGTGCGACTCAAATCGATTTTCGATTATTACTGGTTTGGCTGAGGTTTTTAAGATTTCATCTCTGCTTGAGAAATCTGCCCAGTGGAATTCAGAGAAGAACAAATTGAACACACCCCGAATGTTTTCAGGATGGTGTCTAGGTAACCTTTGCAGAAATAGAGTCCGATCAGTGAATTTATTTAGTTTTTAATTTTTTTTAAAAAAAAATGGTTTTGGCCCAACCGTTGGATTCCTCCCTGAATGACTTTGGGGGGGGGGGGGGGGGGAAGGTGCTTAGAAATCAAAGGAAACTGGTCACACTACACTTTCCTGGCATGTTTGATACCGAAAACATGAGATAAAAATATTTTGTGCTGAACGTGGAAGGAATTCAGAACCAGGCAGTGAGCCCAGCCGCATCCTTAAAGCAGAAGGTTCGCAAGGCCTCTCAGTGCCTCGGAGCCCGTGAAGGTGAGAGAAAGGCGGCTCCCTGTCGCAGAGAATGGCCCACAACAAATAGTCAGGGTACAGTAGTCCTCAACTTATGGCCACAATCAAGCCCCACATTTCTGCTGTTCAGCGAGACGTTGGTTAAGAAGAGTTTTGCCCCCTTTTGCGACATTCCTTGCCGCAGCCGTTAAGCGTGTAACAGGGTCCTTAAGTGAATCTGGCTTCTCCATGGACTTCGCTGGTCAGGAGGTCACAAAAGGGGATCTCGTCACCCCGGGACACTGTGCGACCGTCGTAAATACGAGTCAGTTGTTCCAAAGCATCCTAATTTTGCCACGCTCGTCTGAAAAAGGGTCATAAGTTACTTTTTTTCAGTGCTGTTGCAACTTTGAATGGTCACTAAATGAACTGTTGTAAGTTGAGGACTGCCTGGATATTCCTGGATAGGAACTTTCAGCCTGGCCTGGGAACGTGGAGGGCACGAGGGCCTCTCTTCCCTTCCTCTCTGCTTCTGTATAACAATTCTTTTCTTTTCTTTCTTTCTTTCTTTCTTTCTTTCTTTCTTTCTTTCTTTCTTT